ATTAAATAATTTTTGTCTTCTTTCTCTCTTTTGCTGCAGAGAGGCGCGCTGCTGTATAGGTATATGGTGCTGCTGCTGCTGCTGCTGCTGCAGTAGTTGCTGCAGCAGCAGCAGCAATTGCTGCTTACAACGTTCTTTATTTATTTGTTGTGATGGTGTGTCTTGGCATGTAAGCAGCAGGACTCCTGCTGCAGTTAATTTATGCTGCTGCTGCTGCTGCAGCAGCAGCTGCTGCAGCAATGGACATAACCATGACTGTCTATACACCTCAAGACGTAGCTGCACCTTGCTGCTGCTGCTGTTGCTGCTCTGCCCTCCTGGTTTGCTGCTCCTGCTGCTGCTAAATTGTATTTCTCCCCATCTTATTCCCTTACCAACAAAACCACAAGAAGAAGAAGAAGAAGAAGTAATTGGTCTACCGCATGCACATAATCTGCTGCTGCTGCTGCTGCTGCTGCTGTTGCTGCTGCTGCTGCTGATGGTGGCGGTGGTGCTGCTATTGCTGCTATTGCTGCTGTTGCTGCTGCTACTGTCGTCTGTAGAGGGTGCTATGCTGTTATTTGTTATGTTGCTCTTCTTATTGCTGCTGTTTTTGTTGCTCTTGCTGCTGCTGCTGCTGCTGCTGCTGCTGTTCTTCTTGTTCCTGCTGCTGCTGCTGAGATTCCTGCTGTGGGCACCAAGGAAGCTAAACTGGCAACAACTATGACCTGCAGCAGCAGCAGCAGCAGCGGAAGCAGCACGTGCTGCAGCAGATGGAAGAAGGCGCGTTGCAGCAGCAGCAAAGGTGTGCAGCTGCAGCATCTGCAGCAACTCCTACTAACAGCAGCAAATCAAGATTTCATACTTTGCTGCTCTGCTGCTGCTGCTGCTGCTGCTGCGGCAGCAGCAGCAGCAGCTGGTGTTGCTGTAGATGCTTCTGAAGATGCTGCTGCAGCTGTCGTTGCTGCAGTTATTGCTGCAGATGTAGTTGCTGCTGCCTCTGTTGCTGCTGCTGTTGCTGCTGCTGCTCCAGCCGCTGCTCCAGCTGCTGCTGCCGCAGCAGCAGCGGTTGCTATATGTGTTAGTTGGGGTGTATAGACAACATAATGTAAAAATAAATTATATTTTTGTTAGTTTTTTGTTTGTTTAGTTTTGCTGCAGCTGCAGCAGCAACAGCAGCAGCAGCAGCAGCAGCAGCAGTAGACCATCGGCTTCTTTGCTGCGCTGGCTGCATGCAGTGTCTATTGAGCTCTTGTTGCATTTAATATCCTTTTTATTAATTTAATTAATTAATTAATTAATTAATTAATTAATTAATTAATCAATTAATTTATTTATTTATTTAAATTAATTAATTAATTAATTAAAATAAAGAAAAAAGAGACGTCTTCTCTGCTGCTGCTAATTGCTGCAGCAAAACAAGAGATTCACGTTTGCTGCTGCAGCAAAATAAAATTTATTTATTTTTTTTTTCTTCTTTTTTCTTTTTATTCTTTTTATTCTTTTTATTCTTTTTATTCTTTTTATTGTTTATAATAATATAATTATTATTTTTAATTAATAATAATAATAATAATAATGATAAGGGTTTAGGGTTTAGGGTTTAGGGTTTATAATAATAAATGTTATATATTATTATTAATTATTATTATTATTAATTATAACATTATTAATTATAATATTAATAATATAATTAATTATTAATTAATTAATTAATTAACTAAAATATAATTAATTATAAATTAATTAATTAAATAAATTAAATAAAATAAATAAAACAAATAAAATCCTCGCCGTAACAAAAAACAATCTGCTGCAGTCTGCTGCAGCAGCTCCTGCTGCAGTCTGCTGCAGCAGCTCCTGCTGCAGCGGCAGCAGCTGCAGCTGCTGCAGCAGCTGCAGCAAGAACAAGAGCAGCAGCTGATGCTGTATCAGCAGCAAACGCTACAAGGGTAAAGTATTGTGTTGAATTCAAATAATATTCCTATAGGCCTGTTCGACCCAAACCCTAAACCCTAAACCCTAAACCCTAAACCCTAAACCCTAAACCCTAATCTTCTTCTATAAGTTGCATCATATCATTTTTTTCTGTTGATGTTTTATTTCCTTTAAACACCCAAAAACCATTTTCGTTCCTCGCGAACTCTCTGCAAAAAAAAAAACAACAAACCCTAAACCCTAAACCCTAAACCCTAAACCCTAGACCCTAGACCCTCATCTCTATACGTGAAGCCCACAAGACGAAGGTACAACAGCTACCTGAGGTAAACACTAAACCCTAAACCCTAAACCCTAAATTAGGGTTTACCTCAGGAGTTTACGAAGGGTGAAGTCTGGTAGGCCAACTTTCCTTTGCAGATCTGCTTCTACTGCCTGTACGTAAACACAAACCCTAAACCCTAAACCCTAAACCCTAAACCCTAACTGTTCATACCTGTACTGTATATAACAAGATAAATAAATTTAATTATGTTTTATAGCCACAGTTAGACTCAAACACCTCGCCCTGTACCCCTTAAAAATATTATCCTAGGGTTTAGTAGGGTTTAGGGTTTAGGGTTTAGGGTTTACCTGTAGAATAAGATTTTTAGTGTTTGGCGGATTACTGCCACTAAATACGCGAATTAAAGAATTCCTAACTTCGTCTATTTGTGCATTACCCAACGATTTTAATACCCATATACCACTGTGACACACAAACCCTAAACCCTAAACCCTAAACCCTAAACCCTAAACCCTAAACCCTTAATGTTGATGCCTCCCGTTCTGCAACTGATTATCGCAGACTCTCCTTGGTTCGAGTACCCTCCACAAGTTCAATAAACCCTCCTCTAAACCCTAAACCCTAAACCCCTGTCTAAACCCTAAACCCTAAACCCTAAACCCCTGTCTAAACCCTAAACCCTAAACCCTAAACCCTAAACCCTAAACCCTAAACCCTTATTTAGTGTTTTTCCTTTGTTTCTTACTTGACATGTACAGCATTAGCAAGAAGAATACGATGAATATCTTCATCATTTAATAAAGAAGAACTTTCCCCTAATTTATTTTTTATATCTAATAAGGATAAACCTCCATATTCAGATAATTGCTGCTGTATTATACGCGATACTTGCTGCAACTCAGCAGCAGATGCTGACCCTGTTGATTCTGCAGCAGCAACAGCAGCAGAAGCAGCAGCAACAGCAGCAACAGCAGCAGCATTAAATATAGCAGCAACAAGAACAACCGCAGCAGCAGCAGCAGCAGCATCAGCATAAGACCCATCAACAGCAGCACCATCAACAGCACCAAGAGAAGGACCATCAGCAATACCATCATCATCATCAGCAGCACCAACAGCAGCAGCAGCAGCAGCAGCAGCAGCAGGAGCAGGAGCAGTAGCAGCAAAATAAATATATACCTGAATTATTATTATTTTGTGTATCCCTTTTTATTTGTATATCCTTAACAACTTGTTTTAATTTATTTACCCAAAAAGAAGAAAAAAAAGAAGAAATCTTTGGATGTGCAGAGATAAAAGATACATCTGCTGGTAATTTTAATTGCCAAGAAGATGATACGCATACTGCAACCTATATATTCATATACATAAACCCTAAACCCTAAACCCTAAACCCTAAACCCTAAACCCTAAACCCTAAACCCTAATTTTTTTAAAATTTCGAAATTCGAAATTTTAGACCCTCATAAACCCTAAACCCTAAACCCTCATAATGCCAAGTCCTTTTATAGCATAAACACTCATAAACCCTAAACCCTCATAAACCCTAAACCCTAAACCCTAAACCCTAAACCCTAAACCCTGGACTCTGACTTGATTGAGTAGTTTATCGGCGGTTTCTGGCGGAAGTTTAGTTGCTGCACGGAATGCTTCTTTAGCAATACCTGAGCGTGTGCCTCCTGGCTGCTGCTGCTGCTGCTGCTGTTGCTGCTGCTGCTGCTGCTGCTGCTGCGCGTCTCTAACAAGAAGACACAGCAGCAAATCTCTACATGTTGCCTCGTAACTTGATTCGCATGCAAGAGAACTTTTATAACACCAATTACCCATAACTAGATAACAGTGCTGCAGCAGCAACTGCAGCAGCTGCTGCTCATCAGCAGCAGCAGCAATTAATCTTTTTATTGTTGAATAAGATGCTAAATGTAAATGACCCATTATCTTCAATACCTAAACAACACCATAAACCCTAAACCCTAAACCCTAAACCCTCATAAACCCTCATAAACACTTATAAACCCTTGTAAACCCTTGTAAACCCTTATAAACCATAAACCCTCATAAACCCTAAACCCTAAACCCTTGATGGATGAAGCTGAGTAACCAGGGTACACATCTACGCTGCAGTGGCTAAGACCCTAGGGTTTAGGGTTTAGGGTTTGGGGTTTGAGGATACCTGCTGCTCAAGGGTTAGTTTACGGAGGACTCCGTAGCTAAGAGGTCCTGCTGCTGCTGCTGCTGTTGCTGCTGCTCCTGCAGTTCCTGGTTCCTGCTGCTGCTCGCATATTGCTGCAACATATGCATGCAAATCAGCAGTAAATATAACATCTTGTTTCAATAGCTGCTGCTTCTCCTGCTTCTGCTGCTGTTGCTGCTGCTGCTGCTGCTGCTCCTGCTGCAGCTGTTGAGCGCCGCCAAAGATACACACGTCTAAGCTGTCATCTGTTGCTATTGCTGCAGCAGCAAGCGCAACACAGCAACAACAGCAAATGCAGCAGCAAATACAGCAGCAGCAGCAGCAGCAATACTTAGGAAGGAAGTGCTAACCACCATGAATACAACAGCAACAGCAGCAGCAAGATAAGCAGCAACAGCAACCGTACTACAAACAACAACAAAAAGGGAAACAACAGCAACAGCAGCAGCAGCAGGAACAGCAGCAGCAGCAGCAGCAGCAGCAGCTTACTCTGTTCGTTGTCTACAAGAGAGTTTAGCAAGTCGAAGGCTTCGGGTGAATCCGCATCATAAAATGTCTGAAGAAACCACCAACCATAAACCCTAAACCCTAAACCCTAAACCC